GGCTCCACTTACTACTCTTACTCGTAAAGATGCGAAGTACGAGTGGGGTGAAGAGCAACAGGCTGCTTTTGAGCAAATAAAGGCTCTACTGGCCACTGCTCCAGTCTTAGCTAGGCCAGACTTTAACGCCCCGTTTACTGTCGTGTGCGATGCGAGCGACACTGGCCTTGGTAGCATCCTGCTCCAACGCGTGGAAGGCGAAGACCGAGTGCTATGTTTTAACTTCTGCTGAACGTCGGCTTTCGGTGACCGAGCGAGAGTGCTTAGCCATTATATGGTCTGTGGAAAAATTCCGACCATACATAGAAGGTTACCACTTCACAGTAGTTACTGACCATTATAGTCTTGTTTGGCTGAAAAATCTGCAACATCCCAACGGGAAGCTAGGTCGTTGGTCCTTGCGACTGCAATCCTATGACTGACATCGTGCATAGAAAAGGCAAGGACAACGTCGTACTCGACACGCTTTCGCGCATGTTTGAAACTGAAGAGGATCAGTCTGCAACCATAGCCGCATTGGACGTAGACAAGGATATTAAAGATCCTTGGTATCTCCACAAGGTTCGACAAGTCCTAGACGACCCACGAGTTCACCCCTACTGGAAAGTAGTGGGAGGTCACCTGTACATTTATCGACCTAATCCCATAGTCGACTATTTGCTAAGATGCGACGACGACGCATGGAAACTCGTCGTGCCACGCGAGCAGCGTGCACTGATTTTATCTGAATGCCATGAAGAGTCGACAGCAGGCTATCTAGGCCGCTATAAGACGCATGAATGTGCTGCTTTGCGCTACTACTGGCCCAATATTTCTAAAGATGTCGCCCACTATGTACGCCATTGTCAAGTCTGCCAGCAGGTTAAAATTGAGCAGAAAGCCCCTGCCGGATTAACGGGCAAGCGAATTGTATCGCGCCCATGGGAAATTGTGTCTGGAGACACTATGGGTCCGTTTCCGAAGTCGATCCAGGAATATGAGCACCTATTCATATTCCTGGACTTGTTCTCCCGATGGATCGAGTGTATACCTGTTTGTAAGGCAAACGCCAAAACCATTAAGCGCGCGCTAAACGAAGGGGTATTTTTACGCTTCGGGGTACCAGACGTGTTTTTATCATTTCAAAAATCGGTTAATGGACGGCTTCGTCGAAGCACAGGGAGTTTTGCACGCGACTTGCGTCCTTCTTCGCCCAAAAGTAATCCTACGGAGCGAGTAAATCGGACAATCAAAACAATGATCGCCGCATTTATTGAGGAACGGCATACTACTTGGGATGTGCATGTAGCCGAATTTACCTTCGCCTATAACACAGCCATACACGAAGCTACGAAAAGTAGCCCAGCCTTCCTCAACTATAAACGCAATCCCGAACCATCTCATTCAGCGCGTCGAGTTGAAGAACGTGCTTTACTGATCAACTCAAGTCGGACGCGCTTGACGAGTGGCGTTGTCGTATGCAAAAGCTTGAGGAATTTAGAGCTAAGGCCCACCAAAACTCCCAAGCCGCACAAGCAAGGCAAGAGAACTATTATAACGTGAAACATCGCAATGTTCGTTATAAAGTCGGAGATAAGGTCTGGATTCGGAATCGCGTTCTGTCCTCTGCAGTACAAGCCGTCGCGGCTAAGTTAAACCCGAAGTATGCCGGACCCTTTCTCGTAACTTCACGCCTGGGTGCCAACACGTACCAACTTCAAAGTGAAAATGGAGTTGATGTGGGTAAAGCCGCGGTATGCGATCTCAAACCTTGCTACGCCGAGTAACAGTTTCTCGATAAAGCAGGAGACGATGATTCTCCTACTAAGGATGAGATTCATGACGCAACGGCTCTTGAGTACGACACTGAACTTGCAATTTCCCATGATCGTGCTTCGAGCCCCGCCGACGCTGGTAAAACACATGCGACAACAGCACCAAAAAGACGAGGTCGACTGCGCGGTTCCAAAAAGGTCGTGCCAGCGATAGTTGTCACGTCGCCGCAACGTTTGCACTCCAAAAAGTAATCCTGCGATTGCGACTAACCTTTACAACTGCCTATCTTTTTCTTTATTTTGTTTTGCCATTTTCGTATGCTTGCTGGCCGCCGTATGTACATATTTATTCTTGTTTGGATCCTCTAACATCTTCTATTTTCTTCAGTAGCTTTATGGCCATGACCCCCAAGAAATCAGTCCTCCTGTGGGAGGAAAACCTTGAGAAGGTCCAGTCTTTCGTGGCTGGGTTGATAAGTGCTCTCGGGCCCCAGTCACCATTGAATACCGGGGTGACACTGGAAGATATATTCAAGCTGATCGGTCGGCTTATTGCCACGGTGGGGACCGCGATACCTATTGGCCAACGGGCCATCGCTGCCGCTGAGGAACCGACACAGAGCTCGAGCACTCAGAAGCCGGACGTTATCGACCACCTGGCCCGCATCCGCGAGATGCTGCAGACCCAGCTGGAAGATCCAGAAGAAGAGCCCACGGCTAAGCCAACTCCCGAAGAGCGCTATTGGGCCGCTCTCTAAGAAGAGTGTGCTCCGCTGGAGGCGAAAGCCTGAGTCGCCCAGCGTGCCCGCATAGCGGCTGTCGCCGAAGAGGACGCGGCTTATGCCAGCGTCCTTGATTTCGCTGAGCGCCATGGAGGACGCGCATGGAGCCTACCCGATGAATTTATAGACCGGGTCCAGGGCGCAGTTGACCTTAAGAAGGTACTCGAGGCGACCACAACCCAATCGCGGAAGGAACGGGAACAGCACCACGAAGCGGAAAGGAAGAAGCAGGAGTTAGAGAAAGAAAGAGCTGCTACGAAGAAGGAGCTTGAAGCTATCCAAGCTCAGCTGGCTGAGCTCCGCAAGAAGCAGGTGCTTCTCCAGCGCGAGATCCGAGCCCGGGGATCTCGAGCATCAAGCCGAGACCGGGCCGGTACTCGCCCAGCTGCAGCCACGGCTCGCCCTACAGAACCGCCCCGTTCCGCAGCCTCGATATCCCAGCGCTCCTGTAACCGATGGGCCGGTCCACGTAAGGACCTAATTAACAAACGTTACTGCAACGGCTGTTATTTGACGGGTGTCGCAAGAGTCTTCAGCTGCCCAAACGTCGCCATCCATTGGATGTGGGTTGACGGGTATCTAGCCAGATACTTTTACGACTACGTATCCCGGTTTTGTCGCTCTCCTTCCGAAGATAGGATATTTCATCTGCCGCATAAGCGTGAAATATCCTACGTGTAAACGAGAACATTTTCTAAGCCTCAATATTGATCGACATAAGAGAGAGGGAGCAGGGATTAAGCTTATGATTCCTTTTTCTATTTTTCTATTTATTTTTCATATTTCATTTCATATTTTCCAGTCAAATCTAATATTAAAAAATTTATTTGTTTACAAACATGATATTTTATTTATCAATCCTACAGAGAGAGACCAAGGTTATGCACCGGTACGCCCCGGCTACCCGTGACTGGGAAAGGGGCATATAACGAGTGTGAATGATACTCGTTATGTCTCTTTCTCCCATATTCTAATTTATTAATATAAACCTAATGTATATAACTTGTCATTTTAATTTCAATGGGCTGAAGCAAGGTAGGTAAGAGAGAGAGAGAGAGAGAGAGAGAGAGAGAGAGAGAGAGAGAGACGGTTCGACTATCGAACGCACGGACCGCGAGGAGGGCGCTTGATTTTCTTGGCGCGGCAGATTCGGCGATCGTTCTTCAACGCGAGCGCACGCGTTTAGCTGGCGATACGATACTCGTGCCTTGAGTCTGTGATTCCTGGACAGCGTAATTGAGAGTGTGCAGTATGTGAGAGTGGCCGAACTGTATTAACGTGCAAGTGTGGAGTGTGTGGAGTGACGGCCTCCTGCCACCGGCGCCAGCCTATTCGGGCTTATATTTTAATTGCAATCTCTCAACCGAGCGTCTTTTGCGAGCCGACCTTCATGGGGCAGCAACTTGTAAATACTGCTGCGTACCACCTTACTCTCTCTCTCAATTCAGCTTCTTGCTTTCTCTCTCTCTCCTTTTGCTTCGCTGCTCTTATATTATTATTTTTGTTATTATTTATCCGTTGTCCTAATAAACAATACGCTTGTTTTCTTAACCCGAATCAGCTTTACTTCGTCCTTCCGCCTATCTCCTGAACCTTTTAATCTCGCGTTTAGGCGTGCGAGTCTTGCGCCGCAACCTGGCATTGAAGCCACGACGTTCCGACATCACCTGACGAGCCGAGCTGTTCCTGCCTAACCGAGCCCGGATTCTTTACCTGCATTATCCGCATATTATCATCTATTAATTTTTATGTCTACGGGACAATTTACGGTTACACTACTATTATAGAATTCAATCATAATTTGACTTTTCCTTGACTGATATAGAGCTCGTACAACATCCATAATATAAGGAAATAACGATTCCGAATGTTGCTGTACAAATGATCTGTTTGATAAGCTGGCAATTGTATACATAATTATTATGCTCATGAGCTATTGTAAAACGTGAAAATTGATATATAGATATATTGTGTCATATTTCCGGTGCTCAATAATTAATTCATGTGCACAATAATTATAGTGCACGATTGCCCGCTTGCCTTCTGTTTCAAGACTTTTTCAATTCTTATGATCTATAATTAAAACAGTTTTTGTAAATTTACTTCTTAATAAATCTAGTCAATGAATTAATCTTTCTTAATTTTATTACCAAACTAATTTTGAAATATAGAAAGCTTATTTGTCAAATCAATACATCACATCAATTTGAATATGCCTTAAATTCCATTTTATCACATCAATATTTTAAAATGTATAGAATGTCAATTGTTTTTAATAAATAAGGTATAACGAAAGTAATGGTTTTAAAGATGATATGACAAAGATTACAAATTTCATATAAATGCCAATTACTCATTATGACAGCTTCCAAATACAAATTTTTTAGTGCTGGCATTACTTTTAAAATAGATGATTATCTCATCCGTATATCCTAATATGGTAATTATATATTTATTATTTCAGCGTCAATTTAAGAAACAACCGGTGTGTGGACCTCAACATATTTGTTGCCATCGTAGCCAATTATACAATGGAACGAATAACCATGGGCAGTGTGGTGTGAGATATAGTCACGGTATTGCTGGACGTATTAAGACACCAACTTATATCAACGGGGATTCGGAATTCGGTAAGTTTATTTGCATATACTCGTATGAGTGTGTGTGTATGTACCCGTACGCGAGCGCGCGTGTGTTCTTAAGGGGTTTGCAAGGTGAAAAATGATTTACTTTTTAGCAAGTATTTTTATGTGATCGTTGAAACGGTTTTAACCTGAGTACTAACATGTTTGGGATTCTCCAACATGATCTATCAACCTTTTCAATCAATAATCTTTTCATTCTACGGATTTATTAAATCGCTCTCCAGATCCAAATCCCCTTGCGGCGTCTATCACCCATCAGAACCCCGGTTCAGAGAGGTCTGATCTGATCTTGAAGGATTTCTGTTCGAATGATATGTTTCATAATTATTTGTTTTTACTGTCTTTTAGATTACCGCATGCAATCTCAATCCCACCAAGCTACTGGATTTCGATGATTTTTTTTATTAAACTTTTTTCTTTTCGGAATATGCTTAACTATTGTTTGCTTAATTGTTACAGTAAATAAGTCATATTTTTATAAAGGATTGAGAGCGTCATATTCATAGTTTAAAAATTTATTATAATCATCATTAAGTTACTTATTAATTTTCTCCCAATTAGTGCGTTGTGACTGTATTTTGAAGGAAAATTTATTATAAATCGCTTTTTCAGTGTCATACTCGATATGAATTGTGAAATGATCAGAGCCACGTGAGTCATCAGAGACTTTGATCCTTAGAAGATACGCTATGTTATCCGTTGAGAAGATGAGATCAATATTGGACTTGTAGTTTGTAGCAAGATTGAAGTGCGTATAAGTGTCAGAATTGTATAAAAAAATTCGCTTTTTCAGTTTGTTTGAGTAGGCTTATCCCATCTGAGCCCGTATTGGCGCAATTCCATGCTTCGCTATGCGAATTGAAATCACCTAAGAAAATGTACCTATGTTTTAGTTTAGTGTTTATAACAATCAATAATAGCTAACGGGTCCTTTATATTAGTGATTTCGATTCCACATAACTGCGCAAAAGGATTATCATTCGATATATTTTTAATTTTAGAATAACAATAATTTTTACGAATCAAAAAGACTATTCCTCCACCACCCGAACGTATTCTGTCTTTGCGAAATGTATTGAATCCAGAAAATTGAAAATCAATGTTATCGTTAAGCCAAGACTCTACACAGATCAAAATGTCAAAATTTTGAATGATTTTTTGAATTTCTTCCATTTTATTACATACGCTTCTAGGGCTCCAATACAAATTCTCAATTGACTAGAATGAAAGTTATAATTTGTATTATAATTAGAGCTCATAGTCTAATTATATAAATAAAAAAAGTTCAAAAAATATAAATAAGTATTTACTAATTCTAGAGTAGATATATGCAATTATCGATCAGCTCAGTCGATTTTCTCTTCTATTTCTTTTTGACTTTCAGCTATTGTGTACGATGCCTCTTCATCGATGTTCATATCAGCGTCTATAATGCCCTCTTCCTGACACATAATTGCTTTAAGACTTTAGTGAATCTAGTTTTGAGAGTTCTTCCATTAATGATACACACACTAGAAGTATAATTGATAAAGTTTCTATTAATACAGCTGAATGCATGGCCATATCGGACGCTCTAGACATTGCCCTAAATAACAACGATCGTAACACCAATATTTTTACTGACTCGCTAAGTGTGGTATTAACTTTAAGTTATCCCAAAAATAAAGTCGATTGCAATTGCCACGTATTTGAAATACGTAATAAATATTGTCGATTTAAAAAAAATAGAACTAGTAATGTTGATATTACCATCTTTTGGATACCGGCTCATGTTGGGATAACGGGTAATGAAATAGCTGATCAACAGACTAAATTAGCCACAGGGCAGTGTCCTTCGACTAAAAGTATTCCATACACTGATTTCAAGGCAATGTTCAAAAATTTTCTGATTTTCAAAGAGTATTATTTTCAAAATTATTACTATCCATCTACTAAGCCTTGGTTTTTAAGGCAATCTTACAGCCTCAAATACATTATTACAGTTTGTAGATGCAGGAGCAACCACTATAATTCAAATGAATCCCTTTTCGAGCTGTGAGTGCCTATGCGAGGTATAGGATCTAAATCACCTTATATGGCAATGCCCATTGTATGAGGTGCAAAGGAAATGGTTGATAAGTGCCTTGGCTAAAAATAAACTGTACCCACCGTTCGACATTAAGGATGTTCGATGATCAGACGAAAGTTAAGAGAACTGTCTGATTTTTTTATATGTTATACTTAAAAGCATCATAGACTATCATGAATTTTTTAAATATTTTTTTCCGTTGAAATATTAAAGAAAAAAAATTCCAAAGTTCGTCGCTTATACATGAGCTCTTATGGGCGAAGAGATACTCATTATAATTCAGAAACTTTTCGTACTAATAGAGTTAAGAGACTTATATTAATTAGACTTATATTAATACTACTTATATTAATTTTTAGTAGAGTTTACAAGCAATCTTTTCGTGTATTTATATATATATATATATATATATATATATATATATATATATATATATACAGGGTAGCCCATTTTAAGTGATCCACTCAGATATCTAGATTGGAGTGAGTTTTATCGAAAAAAGTTTCAGACAAAAGTTACTCAACTTTGAGGGGGCCATGTTTCTATGACCTTGGATTTGACCTTGGAGGTCATGTTCAAGGTCATTTCAAGGTCAACTTTGTTTTTTTAAATAGAAACCCCCATTTTTGACCCCGGATTCGGAAAGAGCGGGAAATTTTACGTCCAAAACGGTATTTTTAAATTTTTTTTCATGGCCTTGAGAAGGTCGATTTAAGGTCAAATGCTTGAAAAACTGCATAAAAGCGTTTTTTTAATTTTTAAGATATCGAAAAATGACCTCTACAAAATTTGTTCAGAACAGAGTGGGCCACCCAATGCACCAAAAATCTTTGACCTTTAACCTCATTTTGAAGGTCATTTCAAGGTCGAAGTGTTTTTTGTAATGGAAACCCCTCTTTTTAACCCCGGATACGCACATAGCGCGAAATCCGACGTTTGGATAAGGTATTGTGTTGAGTTTCGCGCTATGTGCGAATCCGGGGTCAAAAAGAGGGGTTTCCATTACAAAAAACACTTCGACCTTGAAATGACCTTCAAAATGAGGTTAAAGGTCAAAGGTTTTTGGTGCATTGGGTGGCCCACTCTATTCTGAACAAATTTTGTAGAGGTCATTTTTCGATATCTTAAAAATTAAAAAAACGCTTTTAGGCAGTTTTTCAAGCATTTGACCTTAAATCGATCTTCTCTAGGCCATGAAAAAAAATTTAAAAATACCGTTTTGGACGTAAAATTTCCCGCTCTTTCCGAATCCGGGGTCAAAAATGGGGGTTCCTATTTAAAAAAACAAAGTTGACCTTGAAATGACCTTGAACATGACCTCCAAGGTCAAATCCAAGGTCATAGAAACATGGCCCCCTCAAAGTTGAGTAACTTTTGTCTGAAACTTTTTTCGATAAAACTCACTCCAATCTAGATATCTGAGTGGATCACTTAAAATGGGCCACCCTGTATATATATATATATATATATATAATTATATATATGTCATACCGTCCATTTTACAAAGATTTTGCAATATATAGTTGAACTTTCAAATGATTTTTTGAAACTGATGCAGGCTACGGAACAAATGTGGCAACGTCGCGGTCGCGTCAACGTGTCGCACGTCGCAGTCCAGCAGTAGACGTAACCGCGATAAACATGCATACGTTAAACAGAACCTCCAAAAACACTGCTGATAATATAAATGCTTAGCATTTTATTTTGATAAAAAAATTATTCAAAAGAGAAGATTATATTTAAATAATTTATTACTTTACTATCACATGTTTTTGTATCACATACAATAATAACATGTAAAGAGGAGCTCTAATTAAATTTACTATCACATATTATATCACATGATTTACATGCATTAGTAACAGTTGTTAACTACAACTTTTTAAGGAAATCCATTACTTTTTTTATCGGTTGCTGAGATTTCATAATAGTGGATCGACCATTGATTTTTCCTTGCAGTAATAATTCAGTTATGACTGGGCCTTCAGTTTTATATGTGTCTACAATAATGTTATAAGAAATTCCATTTGAGGCCAACTTTTTTGCCATAGATGCACTCAAGACATCTTTCATTGGTTCAAACGATGGCAAAATCTGTTTAATGGTTTTTGTATTTTCCATTGCATCCATTACTTGATAAATAGTTTTTGAAGCCTGCGTTAATTCTGCTAGATTAAAATTTTCAACGCATAGCTGCTCCAATAATGTCACATTAAATTGAGCATCGTGTGCTCCATCACATGCAAGACCTTGCTCCGCAGCAAGAGATGTGAGTTTGTATCTAGTTTTTTTTTTAGGATTTCATTTTGAACAAGTTTAAAGTATCACAGAAGCTGTAAATATACTCCTCATACACGTCAGATAAAGATAAGGTATTGATCATATTGAGCAACCTCGTTGAATCAAATTTGCAATTGTGAGCAACAAGCATGCATTTTTTTTTAAATAATTGAAAAAATTCAATCATTTTATTACTGGCTTCTTTTTTTGAAACTGTAGGAACTTCTTTGCCATGTTGGAACAGTTTTTTTCGTATTTTGCTGAACCTATTAATCTTAGATACTGATGGTTGGATTGACTGATTTGGGGTTACATAAATATTTAAAACATACTCATGGCATTTCATGCTTATTTGCAAAAAGTCACAATTATTTTTCAGGCTGCTAGTCTCCAAGTCAAAAAAAATTATCGCTAAATTTGGATTTTCATATTTGTACTGATGAGTCAAATCAAGAATCTGTATAGTATTGTAATGGGCAGGTTTCTTTTCATCAATAAGTGACATACCACTTTTATATGTGAGGGCTTCAGATTTTTCTTTTTGGTATCTCAGCTGTGCTTTTTTCATTTTATTATCCGATACTTTCTTTTTGAATTCTGGTTGACTACACATATACCTTCTTTTTATTTGCAACTT